ACGGGGGATCAAGCCTGCAAGCCGGTCATGTACCCTTGACTGGAATTGAACCTGGGACCCTTCAGTCCACAGTCCGACGTTCTATCCAATGAGCCAAATCCGGCTAGGGAAATCTGAGTATTTTTTGTTCTATTTCTGCAAAAAATGTCATTGGGATTTTGATGGGAATTGCATTAAATCTGTATATTGGACTAGGTAATATGGCCACTTTAACAATGTTAATCCTTCTAACCAATGAACACGGATCATCTTTCCACTTCTTTGTGTCTTCTTCAATTTCTTTTAACAATGTATTGTACAGGTCCTTCCCCTTCTCTGTTAAATTTATTCCTAGGTATTTTATCCTTATGTTGCAGCTGTAAATGGGACTGTCTTCATTTCTCTTCCTCATATTCTGTGGCGAGTATTAGGAATACAACAGATTTTGTATATTGATTTTGAGCTTGCAACTTGAGCAGACTATTCTCTTCTCCCTCTCTCCTCCATCTGATACATCTATTATCCTTAGGTTGCTCTGTCCAGTGAAGTGAGATAGTTCTCCTTGAGATTTTTCCTTTTCTTAAACCAGCCGTGGGGAAACTACGGCCTGCGGGCCGGATCCGGCCCATTTGAAATGAATAAAACTATTGAAAAAAAAGACCATACCCTTTTATGTAATGTTTACTTTGAATTTATATTAGTTCACACAAACACTCCATCCATGCTTTTGTTCCGGCCCTCCGGTCCAGTTTGAGAATCTATTGTGGACCTCGAGTCAAATAGAAAATATATTAAAAAAAAAAAAAAGTTTGCCCACCCCTGCCTTAGACGCACCACAGGCGTGCTAATTCAGGGTTTTCAGGAATCTCCCGAAACCCAATTAAGGGTCCATGGATTCCAGATTAAGAGGCATTTTTTTAAAATATATTTTATTGATTTTTTACAGAGAGAAAGGGAGAGAGACAGAGAGCTAGAAACATCGATGAGAGAGAAACACCGATCAGCTGCCTCCTGCACATCTCCCACTGGAGATGTGCGCGCAACCCAGGCACATGCCCTTGACCGGAATCGAACCTGGGACCTTTCAGTCCGCAGGCCAACGCTCTATCCACTGAGCCAAACCGGTTTTGGCCAGATTAAGAGGCATTTAAATTTGCAAGAATCATTCTCATGTTAAGAATTTTTGGTGAACTGATTTATTTATAGCTTTATTAACTTGCCCTTATTTTACTTGTGAAGTTCTGGTTTTGATTGTGATGTTGCTGTTCTTCCAATAATATAATTACTTCTTAAACTGTTTCACACCTTTCGTGCTATTGGTTTCCTCCTCTTCTTTTCAAGTACAGAAGCTTGAAATATAATTGAGGAAAATAATAGTCATTGTCATGACAGTGATGGTAGCTAATCTTTCCTGAGTGGTCATTACGTGCCTGGCACGGTCTGTACACTTCACTTCCGTTAATTTGTTTAACCCTCCCGACAGCCTCTGAATGAGGTGCTGCTATTTCCATATTATAAATCAGAAAATTGAGGCAAGATAATTTTTCCAAGTTCACACAACACTATTATTTTCTTTCAGATACTTGTTGAGCAGCTAGACCAGGAGAGAGAGAAGAGGTGGAAAGCTGAACAAGCTGAAAAGAAGCTCATGGATTATATCGATGAGCTGCATAAACATGCAAACGAAAAGAAGGACATCCACAGCCTGGCTCTGCTCACCACAGATAGGTAAGGACGCGGCCCAGCCTGGAGCACGACCTCGCAGCGGGAACCCTCCATTTCAGCCGGCTGAAGTGAGATCAGAGCCATGTTGTGGCTAAAGCATTAGTGCTTCAGCAGCTTGTTCAGAACAAAGAATGCAGGCCCCGTTTGCTTGGGCTCAGCCAGAGGGGTCAGGTAGATGGATATACCTGCCGAGTGAGGACCAGCAAGAGCTCCTGGAAGGCGTAGGCTGCACCCCTCTGTCCTGCTGGCCAGGAGGGCCACCCCCCGCACAGTGCCTGAAACCAATGGCTCAGCAGAGCTTGCTGGCAAAGGAAATTCACATACGATGACGTTTCATTCATCCAGGAAGTGTGTTGTGCCTGTGGCACAGTGTTAGCTTCAGGGGTGGGAGAGAGGCAGGGACTCTGATTTTCAGCCTTTTTTTTAATCTAGTGAGAGTTTGAAACATACTGCATTCTTCCTCTCCACTGTGACCTTTGATGTTGACTACAGTTTTTCTCTTTAAATGAGTAATATATGCATCTGATTTCTGTTTTAGGTTAAAGGAGATTATTTTTAAAGAGAGAAATTCCAAAGTGCAACTCGAAGTTATGGTTCACAAACTTCAAAATGAAATTAAAAAACTGACCATTGAATTAATTAAAGCGAGAGACCAGCAAGAGGATCACATCCGGCACCTGAGAGCCCTGGAGAGAGCGTTAGAGAAGATGGAGCGGCAGAAAGGGCAGCAGCAGACGGCACAGGTATTGCTGTCCCGTCGGGCAGCCTGGCTCCGGCGGAAGCAGCTCTGGTTGTCTGGTCGACTGGAGGCGAGTGGGCTGTGGAGTTGCTGAATGAAGGCTCCTGCACCCACAAGGCCATCAGAAGACTCGGTGGACGTGCTGCAGGTTGCCAGGCTGTGCTCCCAGAGCCAGGACGGAAAGGCTCTTTGGAGCAGCTGAAGGGTGGTTGTTTTTTTAATGAATTTATTGGGGTGACATTGATGAATAACATTCTATAGGTTTCAAGTGTTCAGTTCTATAATGCATCATCTGTATATTTTCCTCTTAATCCCTTCGTCCATTTCACTCACGCCTGCAACCCCCCTCCCCTCTGACAGCCGCGCCAGTCTGTTCTCTGTCTCTGTGTGTCTGTTTCTCTTTTGATCTCAAGGTCCCTCACTTGACACTTTCTGATCTGGATGAGGTGAGCAGCAGACAAAGTGAGTGTCGCTGCTGCCAGGGCTGTCCCTGATGTGACCACAGCATCATCACCTAGGACAGCGGTCGGCAAACTGTGGCTCACGAGCCACATGCGGCTCTTTGGCCCCTTGAGTGTGGCTCTTCCACAAAATACCGACTTCTGCGCCTGGGCCACGAAGTTTCAATCGCACTGTACATGTGCGCCCGCACGTGGTATCTTGAGGAAGAGCCACACTCAAGGGGCCAAAGAGCCGCATGTGGCTCGCGAGCCACAGTTTGCCAACCACGGACCTAGGACATTTTGAAAGTTAGTTTGGGCACTAGTTCTGTTATTTAGAAGGCACTTTTCCTGGGGAACTGGCGATGGAAGCAGGGAGTTACTGTCTTAAGTACTATAATTGTGTGTTTTCCCCAGATGCGGCTTATCGAAGAGGTAGAGCTCAAGGCGGCGGCTGCCGACCGAGAAATTAACTTACTTCGAACTTCCCTTCAGCAAGAAAAGGAGCAGGTGCAGCAGCTTCACGAGCTCCTTGCACTGAAGGAGCAGGAGCACAGGTAAATGCTGCTGGCGTGGCTCAGTGGTTGAGCTTCGACCCATGAACCAGGAGGTCACAGTTCAATTCTCAGTCGGGGCACGTGCCCGGTTGCGGGCTCGATCCCCAGTGTGTACAGGAGGCAGCCGATCAATGATTCTTTTTCATCATTACTGTTTCTATCACTCCCTTTCTGAAATCAGTAAAAATATTTTTTTAAAAAAAGAGCACAGGTAAATGAAAGCGCACCAGGCAGTGGGGACAGTCAAGCAAAGGAAAGAAGCTGCTTGCTTCTTCCTCCTCCCCACTAACCCCCTCCCATCTCCCTCCACAAACAGGAGCCAGGACTGAGCAGTGGGAGGCTAGTTGCAGAGCACATGGGAGGAGGGGCTGCTTGTGTATGTGGTAGGGTCCGCTCCTAGTGCAGTGGCAGCTCACAGACACAGGTGACTTACGGAGGTGTGGGCACTTACCTGGCAACTTCCTGCATTTCTGCAAATCCAACCTAAAGTTGGTCATTGGCATGTGCGAAAAACTGTTTGATTGGATCTCCAAGTGACACCGTGCTCAGTGCTTCTTTACTCCTGTGGAGCAGCTGCTAATAAACGTTTCCTTCCAAGGGCCAGATAGAAAGGATTCCAGCCCAGCTGGTGGTGCTCAGTGGTTAAGCGTTGACCCAGGAACAATTCCTGGTCAGGGCGCATGCCCAGATTATAGGCTCCGTTCCCGGCGGGGGGCATGCAGGAGGCAGTCGATGTTTCTCATCTGTTTCCATCTCTCTATCCTGCTCTCTTCCTCTCTCTTTAAAAAATCAAAAACATAACCAATAAGAAAAGAAAGAAAGGGTTCCAGGCTTCGCAGGCCACAGCTAACTGCCTTCCCAGCAAGACAGGACTTAAGCCAGTGGGCGTGGCCGTGTTCCCGTAAAACCTTGCTTACAGGAGAGGGTGGCAGTCCAGTGGAGCCCTGGGCCTCAGTGCAGCACCCTGCTCCAAGTCCCCAGCCATGGGAACACTTTCGGCTGCTTGTCTCCAGCTGCCCCCAGCCAATTCTGTGATGTCATGTAGAAATTAAATACTGATGCTGGGGGGGAAATTGGCATCCTATGTATGGGTAGGACAGGTATAAAAGATTGAGGGAAAACAAAAACAATGTATAAATTTGTACTTAGTTTCCTTTACATATCTTTTTTTTTAGCATCTTGTTCTAGTTTAAAGAAACCCAGACAGGAAATAGTGGATTTTGTATTAATGGCTTGGTTTATTCAAGAAAAAATAGTGGTGAACTCAAAGGAATGAGCTCACATTTAAAGAAAAAACTGGCCTTATATCAAAAAAGATTGGTGAATAATTTCACAATTTAACTGATTTTTTTTCCTTAACCAACCACTAGTACCAGTCAGGCTGCGTTTATTGTATGTCAAAGACTCAGAGCCGAAGGCACAGGGAGGGAGAGCTACAGGTGCGGCTAGGAGCCCTGGCGCCGTCCAGTGGGCCTGAACGTCTTGGGAACTTACACCAGGCCCATGCCTCTGATCCCACCCGCTGAGCACAGTCAAGGAAAACTCGTTCCTTCTCTGTCCTGGCACAGTTTCTGTGTTTGAAGGTAGGGAGCTCATCTTAGAGGACAGTTGGGGACTATATAATATTTAATAAACTTCAAGGTTTTTCTTTCCAAGGGAACAGCATTCTGTGATTGTTGTTTGTTTTTCATTCCAGGAAAGAACTTGAAACAAGGGCATTTTTCAGTGATGCTGAGTTCCAGGAAGCCATAGCCAAGGAAGTGGCAAAAGAAGAGGCAAAGCGTGAGCAAGAGATCAAAGGATACCAAGAAAAAATCGACACATTAAATCATCAGTACCTGGATTTGGAGAATGAATTTCGTATTGCTTTAACTCTCGAAGCCAGAAGATTTAAAGATGTAAGAATTGGCATTTAGGTTCTTATTGAAAACAGAACCAGCAGATATGGGGTGTTAAGAGGACCCCACTTTAGAGTTGTAGGTCTGTGGACATGTTGGCTATATGGCCTTAAGCAGATCACTTAAATTCCTAGAGTCCCAGCGTCCGCACTGAGATCACCACTACTCTCCCTGCTGTTCCCAAAGCCCAGTCAGATTGTGTGGTCAGGCGCGGAGCTCGGGAACCTGGGTTCTCCCCTGTGGCTCTAGGGCGGGGATTGCAGCCAGACCCGGCCGCGGCCTCTGCCTCGTGCTGAGCACAGCCGTGCTCCGGGTGGCACACAGCAGCACTGAGTGCTATCATTACTTTATTTTGCTAAACCTCTGAGATTCTAAACAGGAAAGAATTGCCCTAGCCGGTTTGGCTCAATGGGTAGAGTGTTGGCCTGTGAACGGAAGGGTCCAGGGTTCAATTCCGGTCAAGGGCACATGACCAGGTTCTAGGCTCGATCCCCAGTAGGCGGTATGCAGAAGGCAGCCAATCAATGATTCTCATCATTGATGTTTCTATCTTTTTTTCCCTCTCCCTTCCTCTTTGAAATCAATAAAAAATATATATATTAAAATAAACATGAAAGAAGTTGTTTCCAGAAACAAATATTTTCTAAATATTGGAGAACTGTTATTTATAATGCAATTTTGAAATATAGGTTAAAGATGGTTTTGAAAGTGTTGCAACTGAGTTAGCAAAGAGCAAGAATGCTCTTGCCTGGGCTCAACGGAAAGAAAACGAGTCTTCCTCTTTAATTAAAGATCTGGCCTGCATGGTGAAGGAGCAAAAGACAAAGCTTGCTGAAGTCTCCAAACTGAAACACGAAACAGCAACAAACTTGCAGGTAAGACATTGTAACGCTGTATTCTCCTTCTGTTTGCTATGTCATTTCCCAAATGCCTGCAGTGATTTAGGAAGTGCAAAATGTTGAACTTTTAAATAATACTAATTATGTACTTGACATGTTTGAAAAGTAATAGAACTGGGAGGTTAGCTAATTTACCAGAGTGCACTACATACGCCAAGATAGTGTTTAAGCATAATAAGTGAGTTAACTAGGAAACTAAGTAGCTAGTATACCGTTGCACAGCGAGAGAAGAAATTGTGACGGTGATGCTCAGATCGTTGAGTTTTGGGCAATAGCATGTGGGTTGCTGGTATTAACTTTTGTAGTAGTGATTTTTTAGACATACCCACACATAGAAACATCTAAATTAATGTCTGTTGTCGCCATTATAAACATTAGGGATATTTTGCCAAGAGAACTTCCTTTCTGCAAGTGACCTCTAGGCCAGCAGTTGCCAAGTGGTGGTCTGCGGACCACTGGTGGTCCATGAGGTCCGAAAGGTTAGCAACCGCTGCTCTAGGTGACTCATATAAATGCTGAGAAACTTGAAATATTACAGGTGTGGTTGCTCTTAGGGTGTTAGAATAAAATTCAGAGTGTTTGAAGGAGTGGCCTCTTAAACTTTGACTTCATTTTCTGATCTACATGTATCTTTAGTTAATAAAACTAAAACTTATTCTGATGTAAAATTGAGGAACATTTACTTGGTATTTGCTTAGATAACATTTTTCTTATGATAAAATGCAAGAAGGTAGGAATAGGAGCATTGAAGTGTAACAGCTGCTTTGCGTTTTCCCATGTCTGGGGAGTATACAGAATCAGATCAGCACCCTTGAGCTCCTGATCGAAGACGACAGGCAGAAGAGCATTCAAATCGAGCTGCTCAAGCACGAGAAAGTCCAGCTGATTGCCGAGCTCGCCGCCAAGGAGTCACTCATTTACGGTCTCAGGACAGAGAGAAAAGTGTGGGGACAGGAGCTGGCACAACAGGGTAAAATTCTCAAATGTCAAAGGGAAACTAGCCCATTTTGCTAAAGGAGCAGATCTGTATATAGGAGAGAACAAGGAAGGGCTTTCCTGCCCCACGACCCAGGGTCAGGGCCACCTCCCGGAAACAGGAAGTGGCTTATTGTACCAGGCGCTGCTCTGAGTCCTCGTTGGCTTTCCTCCTGGTGGTATAACAGTTTACCGTATTTGTCGGCGTATAAGACGATTTTTTGGCCCTGAAAAATATGCCTCCAAGTGGGGGGTCGTCTTATACGCCAGGTACACTTCAGATAGACTGCCCATAGTGCTTGCCCCGTGCCATAGTGGCCTCCCGATGCCCGCCCACTTCATTCCACATACCGTTCAGGCATCAGCAGCGCTGCTGGGTGTATGCTCGGCTGTTATGCGATTTT